TTTTTGTATTTTTAGTAGAGATGGGGTTTCTAAAGACCCGTGTTAGCCAGGATGGTCTCAATCTCCTGACCTTATGATCTGCCCGCCTTGGCCTCGCGAAGTGCTGGGATTACAGGTGTGAGCCACCGCGCCCGGCCTGTGCTGTGGAACTTGATCAGCACCAGAGCCAGCATGTAACCTATCTGAAAGCAAAGCCACACCGTCTGTGATGGAGGGATCGTCCCGCTGGATTCCCTCACTTTCTGAGAAGATGGACAGTGTAGGATCATCTGTGCTAGACAAATCTGTGGTTGGTTCCCTTGATTAGACAGGCAAGGTGTGGTGGGAGAATCACCGTAAAGCCAGCTTGCATCTGCCCCCACCCCTCGTGCTGACCCTGTAGCCCCAGTACCACCTATTTGGCGTGCCTCTGAGCAATGCAAGCGATCCCGTTCACACAGAACTGCGTAACCCTCCTTATGCTGTGTCTGAAACCATGGAGGGCTTTACCCCAGACCTCCTCACCTCAGATCACATCCTTCATAGGCAGATAAAGGGAAATGAACCAGACTAGTTAGTCCTTCACTCTGTGCTGGTCACTGCCAGGAAAGTGTACATTTATCACCTCATTTACTTCTCAGAAAGAAACATGTTATCACCTACGTTCTAGAGTTAAAGACACCAAGGCTCAGAGAGGTTGTGTAACTTGTGGAAGATCACACAGCTAGAGCCGGGATGTATACTTGGATCATTTGTCTCCAAGTCATTTGTCTCACTGCTTTAGATAACTTCAGTGGGACCAAGGGGGCCTGGTGGACCCCCATCTCCCCAAAAAGCCCCATGAGCATTCTGATTGGCCAGATTTCAAACATCAGCAACTTCTTTCTTGTCTACACTTGCAGAACAAAGAAATAGAAGAACTCACCAAGATTTGTGATGAACTGATTGCCAAAATGGGGAAGAGCTAACTCTGAACCAAATGTTTTGGACTTAACTGTTGCGTGCAATATGACCGTCGGCACACTGCTGTTCCTCCAGTTCCATGGACAGGTTCTGTTTTCACTTTTTCGTATGCACTACTGTATTTCCTTTCTAAATAAAGTTGATTTGATTGTATGCAGTACTAAGGAGACTATCAGAATTTCTTGCTATTGGTTTGCATTTTCCTAGTATAATTCATAGCAAGTTGACCTCAGAGTTCCTGTATCAGGGAGATTGTCTGATTCTCTAATAAAAGACACATTGCTGACCTTGGCCTTGCCCTTTGTACACAAGTTCCCAGGGTGAGCAGCTTTTGGATTTAATATGAACATGTACAGCGTGCATAGGGACTCTTGCCTTAAGGAGTGTAAACTTGATCTGCATTTGCTGATTTGTTTTTTAAAACACAAGAAATGCATGTTTCAAAGAAAATTCTCTATTGTAAATAAATTTTTTTCTTTGGATCTTGGCAATAAATATGTCTCGAATTTATTTTCTGGGATGGGTTGAGTCTTTTCTCACCTTTGTCAAATATCAGATTTGGCTTCGTGTTCTTCTCTGTCTGGGCTCATTTCTTTGTCCATAGACTCAAATAACATTTCCTTTCTTATCGTGGCTGCATTTGTAGGATGAAGCTAATGAGAAATACTGACTTGCTACTGAAATAACTAAGTGAATGCATTGGACTAGCTGAGATTTGGTTTTTACAAAACCTCTTTGACTTGAGGAAGCAAATCTATTTCCTTTTATTGAGTCAAGGAACTAATAGACTGCCACTCTTCTGTTCAATCCTTTGGTGTGTGAAGGTCAATCCTGAAACCCCCATTCCCATCTAAAGAAAGGATTGGGAAAAGGGTGAGCAATTGCCAATGGGCAGCAGGTAATTAGGCCA